AAAGGATCATTCACATCCCAGGCAGGACAGAGTGGGACCGCATGAGATTTTGTTGCACGACTCCAAATAGTATTTAAAACTCATAATGGTATTTAAATTGTTTGTTTCTGGAATTTTCCATGTTGACTGTGGGTAACTAAAATCTCAGAAACCGTGAGTAAGGGTGACTACTATATTGTCTTAAATCTTTAAAGTGTATGTTAAAGTACCTAGATAAGAGGAAATATTATAAATATACATTATGTGAAAGCTTCATTAAAAACTTCATGAAAAACTTCAGTATATAATGTCTTGTATTCTAAAGTTAGAAATGCTACCCTAGTGGGTTTGGCTCAGTGGACAGAGCATAGGCCTGCAGACTGAAGGGTCCCAGGTTCGATTCCGGTCAAGGGCACATGCCTGGGTTACGGGCTCAGTCCCCAGTAAGGGGAGTGCAAGAGGCAGTCGATCAATGATTCTCTCTCATCATTGATGTTACTATCTCTCTCTTCCTCTCCTTTCCTCTCTGAAATCAATAAAAAATTAAAAATATAAAAAATAAAGGTAGACATGCTATAAAATAGTATCATGATGAAATGCTCTAGTGAAATAATTTATTTATGAGAGATAACCTAATAAACTATTATGTACCTTATTTTACTACTTCCATAACATATGACTATATTCAAGGCGAACAATTATTTAATCTGGAGAAATGCCCCTGGTCCATTAAAAGGATTTCTTAATCCCTTTTGTGCTATGGAACCCCTTCTTAGATAATGTTTTTAAATAAATAAAACACATAGGCTTAATAGGGGAACCAAGTATATTTTCTAAATATTTACAATATTTAAGTTGTATTGGACTTAAAAATGCATAGCGGTATATAATTCTAAGACTAAGGAAAAAAAAGAAAAATCTCCTTTCCATATCCTAATACTTATTTAGGACATTAAAGAATTAGCAAGACCCTGTTGTAAAGCCTTGCTCGCCAATTTTGCAATATATTTCCAGGATACATTATGGCAATTTAAAAAGGAGTTATTAAAACAAACAAAAATACCCTGTTTTAGCATTAACTATTCCCTGTAAGACCAATCTTGCATTTAATCTGTTTTGCACCATAAATACTAACTCTACTGCTAAACATTTCACTTCTGATTGATTTTTTTCATTTGAATCATCAGTGACATTTCTTTCTGACTTGTATAAAATATATATGATGAGACTTAGAACTTAAGTACAAAAGTACTACTTAAGATATAATTTTATTAAACAGATTCCTTACAAAATCCATATTCATATTCAATGCAAAATATGAATAGCTATCAGGAAACAATGTCTATTGGAATTTTGGATTTCTAATTTTTTTTTAGAGATGGCTTAAAGTTAACAATTATATTCTAAATTAGAGGCCCAATGCACAAAACTTCGTGCAAGAGTAGGCCTTCCTTTCCCCGGCTGCTGTCACCAGCTTCTTTCTGGCACTCGGGACCAGAGCTGGCTTCCCTCTGGCCCCAGTTTCATCAGGAAGGACATCTGGAATGATGTTCAGAAGATGTCTGGTCTAATTAGCATATTACCCTTTTATTATTATAGATGATAAACATACATCTTTATATTCTAATCAGAGAAAAAAGAAATCAGCTCAACTAAGACTTAAAAATTAAGTTCATTTCCATATTTCTTCCAAAATATTTAGCAACAGAAGTGGTAACTTTATAAATTAAAATTATATCTAACAAAATCATTCATTGTTTACAACACTATTCACATTAAATGTTGAAAGGCAAAAGTCAGGGTCACTGGTAAGTTTAGAAATTTATTTTAAATTTTTCAAACAGTTTATGTAAACACTGTAGTTGACTTTTAACTTTTTTAGCCAACTCATTCCTTAGTTGCTTATAAACTACAATCAGCATAATATATCAAACAGCACTATAGGAAACTCAGGGAAGTGATGCATGAATTCTACTATGGAAGTCAAGTGTTTGAGGAGAGAAAGTAAAGATACTAGAAGGAAACAATAACATATCATCTTGTAAGAAGTTGTGCTAGGTGCATTGGTCTTCCCCTTTTCCCTTCTTTGGAGGGAAAAAGTCAATGGCTAATTGAAATAATGAAACTAATACACTCCTGTAATTTATACACAGAATTTCATGGTTTCCCTCAAAGTTATATAGATTAAGTAACTCTGTTTTTCTTTTTTTATTTTTGTTTTTTATTGTTGCAGATGTTATTCTTTTGAGATATGTTGTAGGACTGAGGGCAAAGATTACAGTTTTCTTTCTTCCTTCTTTTCTTTCTTTCTTTCTTTCTTTCTTTCTTTCTTTCTTTCTTTCTCTCTATCTTCTCTTTTGATTGCTTCCATAAGAAGTTACATAAGATAATCACTTTTAATATTCATAAGAAATAAAATATTTAACTTCAGAAATCCACAAACTTCTGAAATTTCATTTTATGTTTATGAAAGAAACTTCAAACCTCATCTAATTCTCCATTAAATTTATGTCTTATCATGAGATCCAAAGTACACTAAATTGCTCAGGGAAAAGAGTACAGGAATCATCTCTTAATCCACCTGTGCCAGACGATGAGTGAAGAAGCAGATAGGGGATGAAATGTGAGCAAAATGCTCAATTATCAATGCAGTCAAGGAAGATGCCAATAAAAGGAAATGAAACCCTTAGTTTGTCCTCATGTATCTAAGTTCAACATTATTGTGAACAATATTAATTCTAGTATGAAACTTGGTTTAGCCTGTTCATAAAGAGCAAGAGAAAATTCAGGAAGTGAATTTATGACTTTTTAAAAGATTTATCTTTTCCTATTATATCAAAGTTCAATTCATTATATTTTAGCAACTTAAATATGTAATAACACTTTCAGCCAATAAAAAAGGTGAGTGTATTAACTTAAAAAATCGGTTCATTTCTTACTGTCATCAATTCTTACTGTGAGGCATGGTTAAGGATGCTTTATTCATGTGTCTGTCCAGAAAGACTGTGAGCTCAATATGAACAAGAATCATGGTCCGTTGTTACTTAATTATCCCAAATAGTACTTTACACACTGCAGGTGTTTAAAAAAATTGTGCGGATTGAATCAAATTTATACAGAGCATTATGTATGTAGAACCTCAATTAAAAGATGTGATATAATTTAAAAAAACAGAACTATAGAAGCTTCAGCTGATTATTAGAAAAAAATGAGAGGAAAAACAGAATAGGAAAACTAAGGCATGAATTGAAATTTAAAATTGGACTCTGAGTTTTGTTTCTCATTTAAAAAATCGAAAGTATTAGCCAAGGAACACTAAAATTTCAACTAAGAAAGCAAGGAAAATGAACATGAATACTACTAATTTGGGAATTTAAAAAAATATATTACATTTTAGTTCTAAGTTTTAGTTCACGAATTCCAACTAACCACATACCCTGTATATGAATATATTAAAAGAAGTTATTGTCTTCTAAAACATGAAGGATACTTAACAGCTGCCTAAACAATCTTTTAACACACGCTCCTGCATGTAAGCATAATTCTCAGGGCCAAAGTTGAACAAGTTTGTCTTGGGAACAAAACTAAAAAGAGAGAACACAAAAGTAATAAAGAACAGAGTTATTAGGAAGTCAAAGAATGTTTGTTTAGGACATCACTCATCTCCATCATCTGTTTGATTTAAAATTTTATTACAAAAGATGTCTAACTGCTGTAAATATTTTCCCACTAGGAAGAGAAACTTACTGGATATAAGTACTTTTATTCTTCAATTTAATTTTTAAATGCATGTACTCTTGTCCTTTAGCCTTTAGATCTTCCAAGCATATCCCCAAAGGCAGTAGGGACCACAAGGAAGATTCTAAGAGAGGACAAAGAGCAGATCTCGCTCTGCTCCATGCCACAAAAGTCATCTTCATTTCAATTAATTTACTTTGCCTTTATGAACTTAAGTCTTTCAAGGAGGTTGACATTTCACTCATCTGAAAAAGCTTGGAATGTGACAGGGGAAAGGGAGGAGAAGTAAATCAACGGGGTTAGCAATTTTCCAGATGCAATGTATTTTTCTTCTTCTTTTCCACCAGAAATTTCAGAGAGTCTTCTGACATTTTAATTCCCTATGCAAAACCACAGTAGCCAAAAATGCATACAGATTATATGTCAAAAAACACAGACACAAGTGCACTTGCACATGAAGTAAATCTAAATTCGGATTCACGACCCCTTTCACAGAATACATTTCTTTTAGTGCATGTATTATATGTTTGTGTATACCGTTTGACAATTCTAACTTAAAAGCAACAGCGGGTTTTGTAACTTCCTTTTTTTCTTGTGTGTCTGATAACTAAAACACCGAGTCCATGCTGACTTTTTCACTCGAAAGATGGCATTTATAAAAAACTGTTATCATGACTATATTTTAAATCACACCGGAATATTTCAGTGATCACCTTCAGCCACATGGTTTCAGGAAACTATGCCCAAATATTTCATGCAAATGCTGGTCGTTTCAGAAGAGTTCTTTTTGCGTGGATTGGAAACTAAGCATCTAAGGATAAAAAAAAATCTTTGAGACCTGAAGATAATTTCTCAGCAGCAAGGGATATGCCGATTGTGTCTTGGAGCCAGAGAGGGAGAGATGGCATTTAACTCCCCGAAACACCCTGCTTCAATATTTACCTGACAGCTCCGGTATCCTGACAGGCTCCCCAGTGCGTTTCTTCCTTTATCAGGTATTACTTTACAAGGGATTTCTTGTTGTGCAGAACTAACATAAATCAATCTATAACAGAGGAATTTATTTAATACATTTATTCTTTTAAGAAGGTTGCATGACCATATTTCATCGATTTGTACAATAGAAGAAAGTTACTACTAAAACAGAGTTGGTGGAGACTGGTGCATGGTAAACCTATTTAGTCCTCAGATGTCCACTCTTAGATTTTAATGTTAAATAATCACAACTATTCATTTAAGCCGGTCTCACTGTATATCTTGACCGTTAGCAATTCCGCACACAGCAGCTTATTGTGATATCCTTTAAATATGAGAAATAAGGATGTTTGACTTTTCCATTTAAAGAAAAATAAGAGTACTGTATGTTACATGGCCCATGAAATATTGGCAGTGTGCTCCTTGGCTTTCATTCGAAGGACTGCGATACTGGAAGACCTCCGCTCGAACTCTGGCTTCGTTTCAAATGCATGTCCATTGGCAGCCCCCGTCAGAAGAGAGTCAGTGAAAAAATTGTTGAGGGGCACGTGGCCGAACTGGTTCTGGTGGTTTGAAAACCCTGTGTAACTGGAGTCTGTCCGAGGCGAGTGAGAGTAAGGTGTCATACAGGAGGAAGTGTCACGTGGCACCATGCATGACGTGACCACAGAACCTCCACTCGCGTTTCCTGCCCACAAATTGTTCTGAATCTGGAATATAGAAAACAACAAGTATGACATTTACGCGTCCTCGCTTTTGTTCCCTTGCTTTTGTTACGCTGTATTTGCTACATTTTGTTAGCTGCTCATTGTTTGCTCCTGATGGGTGGTCTGTCATTACATTCTGAGTATGTAAAGTGATTACTGAAAAATAATTTGAAAGATTCTTCCAATTTGTTTTACTGTAATAGATCACCGAAACCCACATACTTAACCACATAAAATACTCTCAAAACATGTCAATCTCTTGAGTATTCTTTTTACAGTCATAATTTTTAAAATGAAATCTGGAAGATTTAGTCATGATTCATGACCAATTCATGTGCTTAGAAAAGCGGTTTAAAAGGTGGTTTTAAGTTTAAATATAGTTTTCATATTTCTAAACAAATGACACAATTTCATTTTTTACGCTCCATAGTTGGACTCAGTGTGGCAGTTTTTGTTGGAAACCATTGCTGACATTAAGCTGTTTGCTCTGTAGATATTTTTGATCAAACTGATTTTGGAAAATGTTTAACCTTTCATTGCCTTTTATTTTGTAACATCTTGAATACATAGATCTGTGAATATGAAAAATAAGTACATATTTTAAACATTTATTCTTTGACATATATGATATAGTGAGGTTACAACAGATGTATGACATGTAAAACAAATTTAGAATTCTAAAACATGACCATTACCAAATAATGGAAGCAACTGAGACAAATATTCAAGTATTAGCAAAAATATCTGAATATAATGTAAGTACTAAAAAACAAACATCACATTTATGATTGAAAATTGGGTTATAATTTGTACCCAAGAAATTCACATTTCATATCATTAAATCTCTACAGAAAACAATTAGTACAATATTACCAACAAACACAAATTTCTCTAAAGTTATGAGCATGTAAAAACACCCTAAGTCGAATTTGCATAATATAAATTTTCAACAGAAAGTAGATTAAGACTAGATATTTAAACAAGGATAGAAACACAACAATCACATGCATTACTGAGAAGCACAGAGAAAATCATGACAAATGGAAGGAGCTGAGGGAAAACAGAAAGGGCAATGTTGCATGGTGTAGTGTGGCAGACATGCAGCCTTAGGAGATGAAATTTAAATTTTGTATGCCTTTTACAGCATTATTGCAATAGATGTGTAGTAGAACACAGCAGCAATCTACACATTTATCGCATCTGCTTTCTTTTAAAAAATCATGATAATTAGAATTATCAATTACAATGTTTTCTTATATTTATTTTTACTCAAAGATTCCAGTCTACTACATCTGGCCTTTGGTGTGTCTTACAACACCCAAGCTTAAATTGTACTTTTTAAAACAACTTACTTCCAATTAAAAGTAGAAAATATGTTAGTGACTCTTCTAGATCACACTGGCAGAGAAGTTACTCTGTCACAGAAGAAAGACCACGTAGCCAGTTTCAAACTGAACATCTGATTTCATCTCTTAGGTGGGACTGCAACAATTGGCAAGATGCTTATTTTAGTTATATTTTAATAATAGTTCTTCATATGAATACTTTGTAAGCTGCTATAAATGTCAAATCTATGAGATATACCTACAAATATGTATAATAATATGCATATTTTATTAATCCTTACATCGTCATGGTCTATGTTGTTTCAACTATGACTCATTCTATGATACGTATCCCACTTTAGAAAAATACGTAATGATTGATGCCAGTGATTACTGAATCATGTATTTCAAACCAACAGGAGAGGCTGTTGATGTCATTACCCTGTCCAACCAGCTCTTCGAAGTTGATTTGGTTGATTTTCCTCTGACATTCAATCAAACATTGTGCGGCATTGAAAAAACCAGTCACATGTCTGACAAAAGGGCTTTCAGGAAATGAAAGTGAACTTGCTTGCTTATTTTTGAAAAAGTAAATGAAAGGCAAACTAGTGGCAGAGAAAGATTATTTACATTTTATGTTTGTTAAAGGATTTGTCAATCTATGCATAGTGTTTAGAATTTATTTTTAAAAGCATCTGCTCATATTCTAAATGCATATAAATATATTTACCAATTAGGTAAAAAAGGGAAAATAAGAAAGGTAAAGACAGGGAAGGTAATCTATGAATATAAATTAAGAGAGTATTTTCTCCCTAAAGGAATTAACGTTAAACTATTTATAAGTTGAAAAGAAATTCTCCAGTTTCCAAGACATGAGAACCAAATGTTTTTATTTTTATCAAAACTTATTTAGACATGATTAGGCAAATTAAATGTGTTACTTTTGGTGAAAGAATTTCTAGCATATAGAAATATTTTCAGAACAGAGCAGATTGGTAAAGCAAGCTACCACAGCAATGCTTTTAGTTAGATTTGGGAAGATACATTTGCATGGGTGGCAATAGTGTCACACGTTTTTACTGATATGTTCTGTTTCCATGACCTCTGTCTCCCCTCATAGCACCCATGTCTTGCTCTCATTTTAAAATTTCTGATACGTCTTCATTTGACTTTAGGGATTTAGTTGGTTTTCATATTGAAAGTTATGTGTAAGACACAAAATTAATTTCCCCAATGAACTGAGGTTTTCCTTCCTCTAAAGCTTCATTTCTTCTGGATGTAAGATAATCAAAATGAGGCTCGTGATAGCTTATGATTATCAATTACCATGTGTCAGACATTATATTAAATGCTTTATGAAGACTTCTAATTATTATAACACACTAAAAGGTATGAGCTTTTACTATCCCCATTTAGTAGAAGGTAAACGTATAGAATGGAGAACTTAAGAATCTCACCCAAGATTGAATGACTCCAATGGTGGAGATCAAATCTGAACCCAGCAAATCGTAAACAATGTTACAATGATGTAAAAATTACTCTATAAGTTAAAATTGCTTATTTACTTATTCATAATCCTAACTTTGTGGGGGTTCTTAGGCTTACTCTCTGAACGCAAAATCCTCAATGATTGCTTAGACTCTTTCTTCATCCTCAGGCCTAACACAACACATAATAAACCCTGAATACAAATTTATTAAGTGATTGAAAAAACTCTAAGAACATGAAATTTGAACTGATCCATCTTACAGATGCAATCAAACTTTTATGGGCAACACATGCTAATGCTAATGATCTACATTTTGTTTCATAATTTGAACTCTAGAATCACCATACTACAATTATTATCTTAATAGAAATCATAAAATTACATACCTACACCTTGCTAACTTTATTTCTCTGGGTAGATTTCCCCCCCCCCCTCTCTATTAAATACTTATTCTGTATTATAGATGCATCTTCTTGGAGATTCTGGTTCATTAAGCAGAAGGTGTGGCTCAAGGGGCCTATGTTAAAATAAAGGCCATAATACACACATGCAATTCTGAAAATCACCAAGGCTTGGGAAACACTGTTAGAGTCTAGCTTCCCTCCACATGCAAAAACCCCTCCTACACTTTTAATTATGTTCACTTCCATTGACAAGAAGCTCACCTGTTTTAAAAACACTCCATTCCCTTTTGGAGAGCTCTATAAAAATAAGCAAGCTGTTTCCAAATCTTAGCTATGGTGAATTGTGCTGCTATGAACATAGGGGTGCATATATTCTTTCTGATTGGAGTTTCTAGTTTCTTGGGATATATTCCTAGAAGTGGGATCACTGGGTCAAATGGGAGTTCCCATCAGCAAATGAGTGGATTAAAAAACTGTGGTACATCTACACAACGGAATACTACGCTGCGGTAAAAAAGAAGGAATTCTTACCATTTGCAACAGCATGGATGGAACTGAAGAGCATTATGCTAAGTGAAATAAGCCAGTCAGAGAAAGATAAATATCACATGATCTCACTCTTTTATGGAATATAATGAACAACATAAACTGATGAACAAAAACAGATCCAGAGACAGAGAAGCATCGATCAGACCGTCAAACCTCAGAGGAAAGGTAGGGGGAGTGGGGGTAAAGGGGAGAGATCAACCAAAGGACTTGCATGCATGCATGCATATAAGCCTAACCAATGGACACAGACAACAGGGAGGTGAGGGCATGAGTCGGGGGGGGGGGGCTAGGGGGTAATGGGGGGATAAGGACACATATGTAATACCTTAATCAATAAAGACATTTTAAAAAGCAAACTGTTTTTTTTCTTTTTTTGTTTTTTTTTATTCTTTTAAAAAAATATTATAATACGTATTACAAAGGGTATTACATATGTGTCCTTCCCCCACCCCCCGCCCTTGACAATCCCCTGGCCTCCCTTGCCCCCCAGTGTCTTATGTCCATTAGTTATGCTTATATGCATGCATACTGTTATCTTCCTCTATCTATCGCTTCTATTTCTGTTCCTTAAAATGATACAGAATAGGTAGTGTCTTTCTCACATGTGAAAATCTTCAAATATCCTACAAAATTATTACACAATTGCAAGTCTCTCTTCTTTAAGCATTCCTCATATGCATGGTTTCCAGACTGCTCATTCCAGTCACATTCCCCAGATATGCTAGAGGCTGTCAACACCCTTCACCCACATCAATATCCAGCCCTGGGAACAGAATATCATTTTCTAGAAGTTGTCTGAACACCACTATAGGGGAACCTGGCAGGTAGCATCATTGTTCCAGATTATCTTCTTTTGTTAATATTTAAAGGCAATATTTAACTACAAAGTTGTGTGATCTTGTGGTTTACGAAATCTGTTGTCAAGGTGGTCTCATTCTATGGCTGTCCCATGCCTCCACCAATTGTATTCTTCTGTAGGTGGTCCTTCTAAAGCTATGTGCTAGGTCTACAAGTCATATTGTCTAAAACTGTTTATACATATTTGTCAACAGAAAAGCCATACAAAAATCTCACTCTCTGACTCATTATAAGAAATACTACATTTTCTGTTACATTTTGAATGCATATTTTTTCAATATATAGAATTGTTACTCTTTTGGATTATTTCACAGACGCCTACAATGGCAGTGCCCAGCACCAAATAAATTTTGGGGTGTTTCTGTTGGCCTCTAACTG